TCATGGCAAACAGAAGGGGGAAAAGTGGAATCGGTGACAGATTTTATTTTCTTTGTTTCCAAAATCACTGTAGATGGTGACTGCGGCCATGAAATTTAAAGACATTTGCTCCTTGGAAGGAAAGTTTCAACAAACCTAGACAGCGTATTAAAAAGCAGAGATATCACCTTGCCCACAAAGGTCCATATAGTCAAAGCTATGGTTTCTCTGGGAGTCAGATATAGATGTGAGAGTTGGACCATAAAGAAGACTAATCGAGGAAGAAATGATGCTTTCAAATTGCGGTGCTAGGAGAAGACTCTTGAGAGTCCCTTGGACTGAAAGGAAATCAAACCACTCAATCCTAAAGGAAATCAACCCTGACTATTTACTGGAGGGACTGATGCTGATGCTGAAGCTCCAATTCTTTAGCCACCTGAGGCAAAGAACCAACTCATCGGAAAAGACCCTGATGCTGGGAAAGAGTGAAGGCAGGAGGAAAAGGGGACGACAGAGGATGAGATGGTTGGATGGCATCACCGACTTGACGGACATGAGTTTGAGCAGAGATAGTGAAGGATAGGGAAGCCTGGCGTGCTGCAGTCCCTGGGGTCCCAAAGTGAGACACGATTCAGTGAGTGAGCACCAGCAAAGGGGAAAGGACAAAATAGGAAGAAAGCAACTCAGACAAAGTGATGACTGGATTCGTCCAGGGTCTACTTGACAAGGGGCTGTGGCAGACCAGTCAGGGCAGCCACTGTCTTGCACGGCTGGCTCTCCTGCACCTGACGCAGTCCCCCGAGCACTTTGGGTCCAGCCCTCTCTTCCTTGAGAGTACCTGGGCATAAGTGATCAAAGTTCTTATTAAGGGAAGGGCACAGATGCATTGTACAGAGGTTGGAAATGAAAGCCAGTGGAAAACCTTTCTGTTTTCATTGGAAGGACCAGGAAGAGTAATTACCCCTGAGATGCCAGCTTGGACCCACCACTGCTCTCTGCCCAGAAGCCTTGGGAAATTTCTCTTGGCCACCAGCAGACACAGCCAGCCAGTCTCCCATAGGCTCAAAAATGGTAAATAAAGGAGCAAGCATAGCAGGCTTGTAGTGGGTGTCAGGGAAAGTTTAAATAGCCTTGGGAACGGCTCAGTTGAGTAAGGGGTCTGGGATGCACTCCTCACCTGTCATCAGCCACCCTCCCACAGTCAAAGCACCCCAAGAGGATGCTCCCCGTAGGAGGTCGAGTCTCTGCAGCCCCATCTTCCAAAGATCAGCCTAGATTCAGGCCTAGAATCCAGTGACCCCTCAGAAAGCACTGCCAGGGGGTGTACGCCCAAGGCTGTCTCCTTCTCCATCTGTACAGGGTCCCAGGGCCACATGTCAACATTTTTTTGTCCCTAGTAGGGTGAGATTAAAAGTAACTACAAAGAGGCTACTTGCTTGGTAAATAAATCCAAGCCCAAGTGTACAGATGACCCCTCATCCCCAGGAGGAAATTATCACGCACACACCATCCACATGGGCCCAGGAACCCAATCTCACCGGTCCGGCTCCACTCACTGCTCAGTACCTTTACCACGAGGCCAAGTGGAGCCTGGCAAGGCTAGGAGGGGGTGGGCGACAGGGATATTGGGCATCATACTGTCCTGAGCCAAAGGCCCCCAGCTCCTGATGGAGCCAGAACAGACCCAAGAGAGGGAGAGGGCTGCAGGCCACGGCCAGCCGCCGGCACCGTGGAGAGACAGAAGCTGGAAGACTGAGCTTTACCATGAACGGCAAGCCCTGCCACGCTGTCCCCGACATTGGGACTTTGGATGGTGGGCCTCCACACCTCTGGTGGAGCTCAGGCACCCAGGGCCCCAGCTGGACACCTGTGCCAGGTGAGTAGGCGCGTGGAGCCGGGCCGGGAGGCAGGCGGTTAAGTGACCTGACACCGCACAGCTGGGAGAGCGGCTGGTCCACATCCCGGGGAGGCACAAGGATGCTTTTCTCACTGAGCAAAGCTCTCTTTGTGAGGGTGCATGATGGATTGAGCATTACCTCGAGGGGCACAGGAGGAGAAGGGCTGGCCAGCTGAGGGGGAAGAAGGAGCAGCAGGCAGCAGTTAAAGGAGCCAGGGCACCAGAGGAGCTCAGGACACCTCCTCCTCTTCCACTGACCTTGGACTACCTTCCCCCTGAGGGTCAGCAGAGACATTGACTTAAACAGGTTCCTAATGGATAATGACCCAGGATGTGCAAAGGGGCTTGTTGTTTAGTTGCTGAGTTGTATCTGACTCTTTGTGACCCCATGGACTGTAGCCCACCAGACTCCTCCATCCATGGAATTTCCCAGGCAAGAAAACTGGAGTAGGTTGCCATTTCCTTCTCCAGGGGATCCTCCTGGACCAGGGATAGAACTCGTGTCTCCTGCGTTGGCAGGTAGATTGTTTACCGCTGAGCTACCTGGGAAGTCCACAAAGGGGATGGGGCCTCCATTTTGCCAGAGCACTCGCCTGGAGAAGAAAAAAGCATCACCCAGCGAAGATGGCAAAGGTGCCCTGCCAGCCAGACACATTTTCTCCATGTTTCCAGTTTGAACGACTGCATTCTGTCTGCCCCACTCCATTAGATTCCAAGGACATGTGTCAGCCACGGCTCCAATGCAGAGTCTGGCCCCGCACTGGTCTGGAGCGTGGAGGCAGCAGAGACAGAAGCGAGACCTTGCACATTCCAGGAAATCAGACCCCCATTCTAATCAGTGCTGTGACTGCAAATTCCAGGGCAGAGGGGCCTGTGCGGCTAGGTTTCTCTGAGCCCTGCAGGGAGAACACACAGGAGGGACAGAGAAGCATCACTTGACTGAGGCCGAGGCGGCTGACTAAGGTCTGAAATCCACCCAGAAATCCTGTGCATCATCAGGGCCACTGTCTGCAAACGTTAGGAACCACGCAACAGAAAAGACAAAGCTTTGGAACTGAGGGTCCCAGGCCCAAAGGCCCTCAGGCCCATTCTTGTGAAAAGAAACTGAATATTCACAGGTAGCAACTGGTTTTTGTTTTTGTTTTTTTTTAAGATTCACAATTCCAGTTTCTCTCTTTTGCAGAGAAATAAAAAGCAAAATGGAGGAGAGTTACGTGTGACCCATTTTTCCGCTCCTACTGAATAAAGGAGGAAGACGGGGCGGAGCCGGGGAGCCTGGCCTCGATTTCCAGCCCGCACTGGCACTTTCAAGGCCTGGCAGCTCCTGGCTTTCCGGCACAGTCTCCCAGACGGCTCAGAGTGGGAAAAGCTCGCCCAACGCCAGACCTCAGGCTGCAAACCCGTCCCCCACCTCCACGTGCCCTGAGAGTGCCTGTCTGCAGGGACTGGGCCGAGGCTGCCACCAAGGATGCTGGGAAAGACTCGGGCAGGTGAAGCGAAGGAGGAGAGAGACAACCCAAACAAGCCGAAGACAGCCTCTCCGGAGGAGGAGGAATGGCTTTCAGGGGGCACCCGGCCAGCTGGCCAGTCAGTCATAAGCAAGGCCCAGTTCTCTGCAGTTTCAACTTTACTGGTAAAAGGTAAAAGGCCTTTTCCAGAACAATGCGTCTATGTTTAAAGGTGCCTGTCATTGATAATTGCTTTTCAGTCTCACTGGCAAAAAAGAAAAAAGTCCTCGCTTGCATACCCACGCTGAATGCTTGGGTTTGCTGGGTATTGTTGCCTTTCATAGGTTTTTTTTTTTTTTTTCCTGACCTGTTTGACGTATTAGGAAAAAAAAAAAAGAGTTTCCAATCCATTCCACCGCACAATTTCTTTTTTCAGAAGTCTCCTGAACACCCAGCATGATGTGTCTATTATTATCTTTGGGGAAACGGCTGACTGCTCAGCTCACAAAAACACTATTAACTTTCCTCCTGATAAGCATCTGGCTCCGGTCTTGACCTTCCCAGATTTCTCAGCCCGGTTCTCTTCCTGCTCCAGCTCCTCCTGCTTGTTGTGTCTGAAGTGGCCAAGGCAGTTCAGGCTTCTGCGAAGCCTCCAGCCTCAAGCAGCGGGCTGGGAGGTGACCGGTCTGTCAACGAAGGGCCGGGGACACACTCCTGGGCTGTCAGCAGCCACCCTCCTGCAGGCCCTGGTAGAGAAGGGCAGGCCTGGGGCTTGGGGTTAGAAGATGGGAAGGCATGGGGGAAAGGATGTGATGGTGAACCAAGACCCTCCATCCGGGTAGGGACCATCCAGAGAGGTATCCCTCTGCCCATGTGCTGATAAGTACTAGCCTCGAGCTTCCCAGGCGACTCTGTAGTAAAGAATCCGCCTGCCAAGCGGGAGATGCAAGTTCGATCCCTGGGTCAGGAAGATCCCCCGGAGGAGGGCAGGGCAACCCACTCCAGTACTCTTTCCTGGGAAATCCTGCAGACAGAGGACCCTGGCAGGCAACAAAGGGGGTCGCAAAGAGGTGGACATGACTCAGCAACGAATCGGTGAACCGTCCTCCGGTTAAGAGCAGGGTAACTTGTAAAACTGAGACAAAACTCAGAAGAAACCTTTGGCTCAAGTGAGAAGTAAAAAGTGGGTCTTAAGACCTAAGACGAGCCACTTCCCTTCTCTGCGCCTCAGTTACCTCATCAGTAAGATGAGGGGGCTGACTAAACCATTTCCAACATCCTTTCCAGCTCCCGAAAAAATTATATGATCTAATATATCTGAAAAGTGCATTTCCTGATCTTTCCCTTTCAGTACGTAATTCCCATCCTTATAGAATATTCTTATTTTCCATCTTGGCTTCCTGCAGCCTGTGTTTCAGCTTCTTCTGGGCCGCCTCAGCTGTCTAGACTTTCAAAGTGACGTTTGGGGCTGGGATTAGGGAAACCCTAAACAAGAAGAGGGGATAAAATAAAAGTCTGGCCTTCCTATATTCACACAACAGAATACTATTTGGTCATAAAAAAAGGACACCCATAATGTGGATGAACCTTGAAAATATTACAGTGAAAGAAGGTAGTTACAAAGGATTCCATTTATATGGAATGTCCAGAACACGGAAATCCATAGAGACAGAAAGCAGATTCGTGGTTCCGAGGGCAGAATTCTGGGAAGTATGGAGAGACTGCTAATGAGTACTAGGTTGCTTTTCAGAGTGATGAAAGTATTCTAGAATTATACAGTGATGACAGTTGGCACTGCTAGGTAAATATATTGACCTGTCTGCTTTAGAGGGGTGAATTTTATGGTATGTGAATAATATCTCAGTAGAATTGCATAAAAAGGGGGGAAGTCAGTTTCTTTTTACTTCTTTAATGTGGCTACTGGAAAACTGTATTTTATATATGTGGCTCCTGTTGTATTTTGGTCTATGTGTAACCAAACATTCCAGTAAACATATTGTTCATTTTTCCAAACAAGCACAAACAGTCTGGCCTCCTCCTGCATCCTGAACTGAGTTGGCATCCGGGAGACTGAGAGCAGAGAGCCCTGGGCTGGGAGTCCAGGGACTCAGAGCCTCTGTCACATCCTGGCTTGTGACCTTGGGTTTTCACAGCCCCTCGCTGGTCCTGGCCCCTCACGGAAAACACAAATGTTGGACCACACAATCCCCATTAGGTCAGAAAACCCTGGTGGCTCAGACGTAAAGCATCTGCCTGCAATGCAGGAGACCCGGCTTCAATCCCTGGGTCAGGAAGATCCCCTGGAGAAGGAAATGTCAACCCACTCCAGTCTTCTTGCCTGGCAAATTCCATGGATGGAAGAGCCTGGTGGGCTACAGTCCATGGGGTTGCAAAGAGTCGGACACAACTGAGCGACTTCACTTTCTTTTCTTTCACTTTCAGCAGGTAAAATCAAATTTTAAAAGTTCTTATTCTACCCCAAATGTTATTTATCTCCTAAAAGCAGTCGACTTGGGAATAAAAGTCGCATAAAGACAGACCAGGTAATTTACTGATGAAGCAGAGTGACTGGTTTAGTACCATTGATTCCATTTATCCTGATGGATTTCTTTGGGGACAGTTTCTTCCTGGTTGCCCCAGCTTTCAGTGATTTAGGAGATTGTTAATTCTATAGCCAACGGCAATGTATATGGGTATATCCCCTCGAAAATAATTTGGCAACGTACACATGGGCCATAAAAACTCTTACCCTTTCATCCAGTCATTGTGCTTTTTAGTATCTATCCCCAAAGAATAACCAGATACAAAAAGCCATAAACACAAAAATGTTTGGTTTGGGGAAAACATGGCCCAAATGAACACAAAAAGGACTTGCTAACCAGATGATGATAACGCTCAGGACAGAAATGATGAAACTGCTGGAATAACAGTGGAATCCTAGATATTTTTTATTCTTTTCTTTTTGATGTGATTAAAGTATAACTTCCAAAAACTGGCATAGTGTAATATGCCATCAAAGCAGTTCCCATGATGTCTAAGCAGCACGGTGAAGAGAAATTAAAAAGAGCCTTTATGCTGAGAGAGGAAAATCTTAGTATATTCGTCCCCAAGAAAATCAAACCACAGCATAAAAGATATTGAAGCATCTCAGCCCTGACTTATCTGGCATGTCCACTATATTTATACTGACTTTTTTCTTTTTAGCAGGAGGACTGTAATTATGGTTCAAGGGCATTAATAGGTGCTTAGAACTCTTGAGAGGAGAAGTCAGTCATTATATGGATAGCCTTTTGATTATCTTCCAATCCAAGCAGATTATTTTTGACGGGGGTGGAGGAAGCTTTCTTTAGCATCATTTTGTAATGAGACTAAATAAAAGTGCCCACTGTCTCCCTGCCTCATGGAAATGGTGTGCATGGACCCCAGCCTCTCCCAAACAGCCCCCTGATTTAGCAGGAAGGGACAGCTGAGGAGGGAAGGGATCCAGCGTGGAACCCACACCGGCCCACCACCCTCCTGCCCCGGTGAGCTAAGCAGCTTGTGAGAGTCATGTTTCCTTTGGATGCCTCTCTCTAAAGTGAAGGGTTGGGCTATGGGACCTTCGAGAACCTTCCACACTCAGATTTCGAGCTCTGGGATTCTGACCACAAGCCAACTGGTGGTTCTAACCAGTCAACAGTGCCTCTGCAGGAAAGGAGGTGTCTTTGTCCACAGCATCCCAGAAAACATGAAAGTGGAGAGTTGATGAGGTTAGAGATGGGTCGCGGAAGGGCTGTGCACACAGTTGCATGTGTCAGAGGATGGAGGAGACAGCACTAGGAGACAGCAGTTCTGAGCTCCAGAAAAGACCCCAGAGACATTAACACCTATCTTTCAGGAACCAATAGACCAAGCAGGCAGGAAATCAGTAAGGATGCATTTGACCCAAACAGCATTATCAATCCACTAGACCTAAATGATGTTTACAAAACACTCCATCCAACAACACCAGAAAATTCTGCTGCTCACGTGGCCCGTTCATCAAGAGACACCAGAGAACACGTTCTGGACCAGAGAACACATCCTAACCAATTTAAAAGAACAGAAATCACGCAGAGTATGTTCTTAGACCACAGAGAAACTGAACCAGAAATCAATAACAGAAGGCGAGCCGGAAAATCCCCAAGGGTTTGGAGATTAAATAACATGCTTCTAAGTAACACGTAAGTCAAAGATGTCTCAAGAATAGTTGGGAAATGAGGCAGACTGGGGTTCAAATTCTGGCTCCTCTTCCCTCTCCTGAGTAGCCCTGGAGAGTTATCACTCACTTCTCGGAGCCTCATCTACTGCTCAGCTGGACAGTGAGATTACACTCCTCTCTCCCTGGGTGGTGATGAGGGATGCACGAGGTGGGTCCATGACACCAAGAGCACAGTACCCAGCTCCCAGGAAGCACTCAGCTCCCAGGAAGCACCCAGCAGTGGGAGCTCTCCTGGTCATGGTTCCATCCACAGCACCTGGTTGTCCAGGAGAATACTGACCCTTCTCCCCTCTCCCCCAGGCTAGCTCAGTCTCTGCCAGAGAGAAGCACTTGTGACTGCCGAGTGCCAAGCCTTCGCTCCTCTGTATCCAGTTGGCAGCCATAGGCCTGGGCAACCCCAGCTGGCAAAACCCTCTGTGTCCATCCATCCCCACCAAGTGGTGACGACCACTTGGAATACTGGCCACAAAGAGAGGGCTCTCCTAGTCACGGGGTGTGAGATGACTCAACTGTTGGATGATCGAGTAAAACCTCGCCTGAGACTGTGTGCAAGGGAACTCTACTGCAGATCTTGCCAAACTCGGAGGGAAAAAAAATTCATCAGGCAGACAGGCCTACCGTCTTCTTCTCGAGATCAGATTGCACAATTAACGAGAAAGATGTTTCCTGAGGTTTGAAAATATTGCACAAGGCTCTGACTCATTAAGACAGAGCTTATTCAAATTTGAAAACTATCGCAAATTCCAGCCACAACAATGTGCCCTCTGAAACCACTATGTGCCCAAGGAGATATAATTATCTCCTGACGAGGGACCAGCTGCTGTCACGTGATGCTGGGTAGGACTGCTTTTATGGCAAGTGCTGACATGACAATTTATACCAGGGATCTAAAACAATAGGCCACCCATGGACTCTCAAACTTATTTATTTTTTCCTTGAGATATGACAAATTTTTCCTCAAAAGGAATTCCCGAAGCATGGAAAACAAACCAAGCATCAATCAAGAGGGTCTCAGGGTTTCTATGCACTGCTCTGTCCTGGGCATCACAAACCCTAGGAAGGGTGAACCAGATGACATTTGGAAAATCCCAGCTGTTCCAGACAGGCGTCTCTTCAGTCCAGAGAAGTCACAAGCTTCTTAGGTGATGCAGACAATGACTGGGGGATTCAAAGGGTGACAGGCAAGGTGGTGTCTGAGTCCTTCCGCCCAGAGAAGCTTTTCTAACATGTTTGTTTGCAAACTCCAAGTCAGCCTCCAGGACACAGGCCTGGTGTCACCCTCCTCGTCTGTGATGCCTCCTTTAACCCACCCACACCCCTTATCCCCAGGAAGACATCAAGACAGCACTACCTCCACCAAGCTGACTCCTTCTTGGCTATCTCTGTGATAATGATGACGATGATAATTATGACAACTAACACAGACCCAGTTCTAGTAATGCACTAGGTATGGTCCTAAGCACTGAGGGCATAAAATTAGCTGCTTCCATCTTTCAACAATCCTATGACATAGGTACGTACGCAACATTATTTTCATTATGATTTTACTGATGAAGAAAATGAAACTGAGAGAGTCTGTCACAGAAGAGACGTCATCCCTTTAGAAAGTGGTGATCTGACTCAAGAGAATTCCAGAAAAACATCTATGTCAGCTTCATTGACTACGCTAAAGTCTTTGACCGTGTGGATCACAACAAACTGTGGACAATTCTTCAAGAGATGGGAATACCAGACCACCTTACCTGCCTCCTGAGAAATCTGTATGCAGGTCAAGAAGCAAACAGTNACTACAAGGAGATCCAACCAGTCCACCCTAAAGGAGATCAGTCCTGAATATTCATCGGAAGGACTGATGCTGAAGCTGAAGTTCCAATTCTTTGGCCACCTTATGAGAAAAACTGACTCATTAGAAAAGTCCCTGAAGCTGGGAAAGGTTGACGGCAGGAGGAGAATGGGTTGACAGAGGATGAGATGGTTGAATGGCATCGTCGACTCAATGGACATGAATTTGAGCAAACTCTGGGAGCTGGTGATGGACAGGGAAGCCTGGCGTGCTGCAGTCTATGGGGTCACAAAGAGTTGGACACAACCGAGCGACTGAACTGAACTGATCAGGCTCCTTAAGCTGGGTGTGATACGACCTACTGCAAACTCCTTGACATCATGGACTATCCTGCCTTAACCTACCTCTGACTCCTTCTACCTGGACCTTTTAAGTACACAGTAGGTGTTCAATAAATGCTCTGAATGAACTTAGAACTCACGTCATTAATTCCAAAAGCTGAAATCTGAGCCCTTTCAGCAGCAACAGACATGCCTCTTCAATGGAAGCCTTTTGGAAAAGCATGTGGGATGGCTACACTTCTCAATTTCTCTGCTGACATCAATTTTCTTTCTTTTTAATAGCAGGGTAGATGGGGAAGGAAAGAGAAAGACTCAGGAGGGATCTTGCTCCAGAGGACACCTGCAGCCCAGCCTGGGAGCCCCCGGGAAGCAGGGAGGACCAGCAGGTTCAATGCAGCTCACCTCCTGCGTCTAGACGAGTCTCCACACTGGTCACTGGGGAACGGCCGCAGCCGGCACAAAGCTGCAGTCCAAGGCCACCAGGCCCTAGATGGGCTACAGGCATCAACGCCCACCTTGGCTTTAACTCTCAATAACTTAAGAAAAAGAAATAACTCTTGAAGAAGTCACTCCAGGCTTTAAAACAGGGATGTGTGTGTGTGTCCGACTCTTTGTGACCTCATGGTAGCCCGCCGGGCTCCTCTGTCCCCGGCATTCTCCAGGCAAGAATACTAGAGTGGGTTGCCATTTCCTCCTCCAAGGGATCGTCCCGACCCAGAGATCGAACCCATGTCCCTTGCATCTCCTGCATTAGCAGGCAGATTCCTTACCACTGTGCCACCCGGGAAGCCCCCCAAGCAGGGATGATGTTACCATAATTCTTCAGAGAGAGAATCATACGCCATTCCAGCCAGAAAACCCCTCAGGGATCACTGGTCCAATTCCCTCACTGATGAGGCTTTGCGAGGTCAGAGGCCGGTCACCTGGGCAGGTAACAGCCTAGGCAGGGGTCAGAGCCAGGCTTGGCCCACCAGTCCTTCCACCCGAGTTGGCCTTCCAAGGAACCCTCCCTCACCCACTGCCAAGCTTGATCTCTTCTTCAAACTAAGCCTGACCAGGGCTATTTATTCACTTAAAATAAAAGCTCATGGAAAGTCTGATTTCTCAATCCAAGGCATGAAACGATGTCCAGGATTGTACAACTGCTCGTGGACTCAGAGTCCAGCACCGCCGTCCTGAGGCTGTCGGACGTCTGACCACAGTTAGCTCATGGTCCTGCCGTAATCACTCACTAAATACAGTTATTTTAAGCGCTAATGCAACCTATTTACGGCTCCTCTGCATGGAACGAAGTTACTCAAACGCTTGGCTTCTAGACACTTGGCTTACCAATTTTATGAAACCTTAATATTTTAACTATTTGGTGGCTCAGACAGTAAAGAATCTGCCTGCAATGAGGGAGGCCTGGGTTCGACCCCGTGTTGGGAAGATCCCCTGGAAGACAGCACGGCAACCCACTCCAGTATTCTTGCCTGGAGAATCCCCATGGACAGAGGAGCCTGGTGGGCTACAGGCCATGGGGTCACAAAGAGCTGGACATGACTGAGTGACCAAGCACAGCACAGCAAGACCAACAGAGAGCCAAAGAAGATGACCAAACAGCGTGAGCAAAGCCCTTATAAATTACTTCTAAGCCGGTGGTGGCTCTTCACCAGGAGTGCGTGGCCAGCCTCCCCCAGAAGCCCTTCCTTGTCAGGCCTTGGGTGGGACCGAGATGGGGAGTCCCTGAGCTTCGAGATCTCTGGGCTCGGGGCTGCTGTTTGAGGCAGGGGTGGGGTGCTTTCCTGGACTGTGCACGAGGAGGAGAAAATAGATTAGGCTTCTGATACTTGGGGAGTCTTTTTGGGCCTCTTTCCTGGCTTCCTGTCCATTTTTCAGCAGAGACCGGTCAGAGATCCTGGCTAGTTTTTTGCAATGTCTGGGACTCCAAAGAAGCTTTTCTCTGCCCAAGAACAGTCTGGGGCCCAGGGCTTTGGTTTGGAAATATCTCTAGTACAGCTCCTTCTGTGCTTTTTTTTTTTTTTTCCTCCAGCAAGAGCTGCCTTAATGGCATCTGGGGGTAACCATGTCCTCCAACGGCTGTGCTGGTGGAGCGAGCGCCGTGACGTGTCCTGTGTTTCATCTCAAGGCCACGGCCATCTGGAGCTCTGTTTATTCCAGCTATTCGCTTCAGCTTAGCTGGGGTTGGCTTATAATCTCGGTTTCTCTGTCAATAGCACAGAGTGATTATGAATGGGCTGTGGACCAGATGCTCGGGTTCAAGTCCTGGGCAAGGCACAGCTCTGTGACTCTGCTCCCAGCTGTCACCCCGGGAGGATGACACCACACCCCTCATGGGGTTGCTGGGAAGATCAAATGGGCTGGCACAGGGCTGGCACAGAACAAGCACGAAATATATGTCAGCCCTTCTTATCAGATTATTATTACTTGCAATCTCTTTCTTTCTTTTTTTGTAATCCCCTGATCAGTGTAGAGTTTCTGCTTTAAACTAATCCAATCAGCTCCTGGTGGAAGACAGCAGCTCTCTAATCTCTGGTATAACTGTACACTTTCCCAGCCAAACCTTGACAGCAGCGTTGATTTCTGAAATAGATGATGCGCCCTCATTGCCAGAACCATGATTAGAGACCCTCTCCAAAGTCTTTGTGAAGCAGCTCATAGATGAAAGTGCTCTCTTTTCAGGGCTGGTGCACTGGGACGACCCTGAGGGATGGGATGGGGAGGGAGGTGGGTGGGGGATTCAGGATGGGGAACACATGTACATCCATGGCTGATTTATGTCAATGTATGGCAAAAACCACTACAATATTGCAAAGTAATTAGCCTCCGATTAAAATAAATAAATTTAAAAAATAAAAAATTTTTTAAAAGTGCTCTCTTTTGAATGGGGACATATCCCACCATCCAAAGATCCGCCGCGACTCCCACAGGCTGCTCAGCAGCCCCCCTCACCTCCCCTGCCCTCTCTCTCTCCACCCCAGTCAAACCCTCCTTGTGATCCCAGGACTGGCAGAGCCGCTCCTGCCCAGGGAGCTCCTTCCCCACATCCTCACAAGGCTCGCTCCAACTCCAGGCTGCAAGTCCAACGACGCCTCCTCCAAAAGACCTCCCACGGCCACTCCAGCTAAAGGAACGCTCCGGCCACGCCCCGGAGCCAGAGCCAGCGGCCAATGCACCGCACTGAACAATGACGTCAGGTGACCTGCTCATGGGCAAGGCTTCGACTGAATGAAGCCTTGGCTCCCAGGCTCCTGTCCTCAGAGGTACCTCTGGAAAGTCAGCGGCAGTAGGCTGGATGCAGGGATCGGTGNGCGGGGGGGCGGGGGGAGCAGGGGGAGCAGAGAAGGGCAGCAAAAGCAAAACCTTTCATTGAGGAAAGAAAGACTGGGTGGCCGTGGATTTCCAGTACCTCTGGTTTCTTCTTCCATTCATTTGTTCATTCAACATCCTCCCCACACACACATCTGCCAGGTGCCTCCCAAGTGCCCAGTAGACACACACACACACACTCAGTGCCGGATGCACCGTGGAGCTCAGTAAATATTTGCAGAAAGGAAGGACAGGGGAGAGCCGCTCTGCTCCCTCTGTCTCTCTCTCCTCTCACCACGCTCGTCCTCCTGGGTCCGTCCCCTCTCTGGCTCCCCACGGAGCCTGCTGCGGGCCTGCTGGCCTGCTGGCCAGCGGCAGACGACCTGCTCCCCGCACACACACAGGGTGCCTCTCCATGACTCCGCCAACTCCAAAACTTGCTAAGTGACTCCACCTCGCTGGCCATCAGTCTGGGACTCCAACAGTGCCAGTTACTCAGGACCCTACGCCATGAGACCACAAACAGTAACAGCTGACTTGTTTTTGACAAAAAAAAAAAAAAAAAAAAAACATGCAATGTGCTTTTTTAAAGTCCTCACCTCACACCCAAATTATGGCATGCATCATGCCTCCGCGCCCCGGTGTGGTCTGCTTTCCACCGCGAGCTTCATCCTACCCAGCTTTTTTGTTTTGTTTTGTTGTTGTGAGCTGCCTGGCTCAGGAACATCTGAGAACACAACCCAGCCCGTCCCCTCTGGCCCTGGGACTCTGCGCCACCAGCCTGGGTCACTCCGATGCCTCCCCAGCCACACCAATCTACTCATCAAACAAGGCTGGGCTCAGCCTGCCCCCTCTCCCCACTCCACTTGGGACACACTTCGGGGCCTCCCCAAACTTCCTTTCCCCTCCCCGACGTCTGTTCCCCAGCCCAGTAAAGCATTGGGTTGTTTCTGAATAAGGCTGTCTGGGTTCAAATTCCAGCTGAGTGACCTTGGACATGTAATTTACCCTTAGTTGGCCCACCTGTCAAATGGAAATGACTTCCCTCCTCTTGAGGCTGTGAAGGCCAAGTGTGGTCGCACGTGTAACATACCTGGCCCAGGGACTGGGGCGCCAAATGGGCACCCAATACACATCCGTTGTGGTGCCCAAACCCAGACTGGGCAGGTTCACTTCCCTCTGGAATAGTCTCCTCCACCCTCTAACTAGGCTGTTTCCCGAGGGCGGAGGTTCTGCGTTTTACCTGTATGGCTCTGGAACCCTCCTCCCCAGGCTGGTTAGCCTATGCCAAGGGGGAGGTGGGGGGAGGCTCCGGGTTGGTCCTAGACCGTTTGCCTACCCAGAAAACCTAGCCTAGCTCCCCGGGGCTGGGCTCCCGTCTTCCCGTCTCCATGCACTGCCCGCGGTCAGGAGCCAGCCTTCAGGCTGAGGGCATGTGCCCTGCCAAGCAGGGCTGGCCCGTCCCCACACCACTGGATTGGCCGGAGCTGAACTCAGCATTGTTTTTCCACATGGTCTCTGGGACTGGAGAGAAGCATCCTTCGGGAAGGTCCCGCGAGAGAGTCAGAGGCTGGCTCCACCCTTCGCTCCCCCCACCCCCGCCTCCCCGGCCAGGACGGGTCTTACTGATACAGAAAAGATGCTTCAGGAGGGAGAAAGCTACACTTTTCCCTCACTCCTAACGCGCTCCCCTCACCCCTGCCTCTGCCTTTTCCCGGATCCACGGACAGCTTATTCAAAAAGAGCCACTTTCATTTTTGTACGGCTGGCTCAAAACCCAGGAAGCGAGGCTGGCATCAGTGCCCGCTACGCCTCCTCAAACCGGTGCTAGACCGGGAAACCCTGGGGCGGGGAGAAACCGGGGAGCCTGAAGGGCATGGCCACCTCTTTCAAATAAAAAGTTAAAAGTTCTCAACCAGGAGATCGCTAATGTGAAACATGAACCCTGTTCATCTTAAGGGGGTGGGGGGGGTGGATGAAGAGAAGGAAGGGAAAGCCACAGAAACGAGACTTGGTGGTCCCAACGCCCGGGGCTCACTCAGCACTGGACACTCTTCCCAGCCCCGAACTTCTCAACCCTCTTTATGCCCACATTCCCGTCCTGTTTGTCCCCCAGGCCCTGGAGCGGTGTGGTTCCCCGCGGGGCAATCAGCAGACGGCCATGGGCTGGAGGCCCCGGCACCGGGTTCCCCGGGGGGGTGGGGCGGTCTTCGGGATAGAGCAGGGCCATGGACCGCCACGCGCGGAACCGACCTTGCGCTGGGCGCAAAGCTCCGTTCCGAGGCAGCCCGCGGATCGCTACCACCCCGGGGGTCGGTGCCCGCCTCTCCCAGCCAGTGGGTGCCCCCGGAAGACCCAAACAAAGCTTCGCGGCCCCTCTCCCGGCCCGTCCGTTCCTCGGGGCCGGGATGTCACGACCTGGGAGCTCCCGGAGCCCCGGTACCTTGGCCGCAGGCGCCGCGCTGCAGGACGATGACCGGAGGCTGATGCAGCCGCTCGGAGCGACGGCTGGCGGCGCGCAGCTGGCACAGGTTGGCGTAGGTTTTGGCGTCGCTGCCGCACACCGGCTCGTTGCTGGCGCACACGCAGAGGCCAGATTGCGCTCGCCGCCGTACCGTGGCCGAGGCTGGCACTCCGAAGGGCACCACGCACTGCAGCCCCTCGCCGCAGGGACCCTCTTGCAGGCCGCACTCGGCCCCCTCGGGCGCGCCGCACACCTCGCAGCAGCCACAAGCGTCGCGGACGCGGCCGCCCTCGCAGGATCCCGGCGGCGGGGCGCAGCGCGCAGGTGCCGGCTCGCGGGGCTGTGCTTCCCGGTCTCCGCTTCCCACGTATCCGCTTCTCGCGGCTTTCTCCGCTGCCACTTGGGACCTTAAAATCAAACAGAGGCTTCGCACAGGGGAACCCGCGCGGGGCCGGCGCGCGAGCGCCCGGGAAAGTTCCCGCAAACTGACGAGTTGGGGACCCGCCCGGCCGCGGGAGGGGCCGTGGCTCAGACCCCGGGCCAGGTCACGCGCTCCAGGGCAGGGAGGCGAACATCTCTCTGGAACTGAGCCCCGCGCTCAGCACGCGCGACCGTGACCGTGGACACCCCCCAGCGAAGAAGGCGGGGCCCGCCGGGCTGGCACAAAGTCAGCGCCCATACCCGCCGACAAGCGAAAAATGCAGAAAACAGAAATAGTTAGAATATAGTCATTAGAGTCATTTCAAAAGTTACGGGTGGGATGCGTGCTTGTGGCTGCCCAGAAGGGCTCGGGAAGGAGACGCGACAGGCTGCGGGGTGCGGGAGTTGGGGTGGGGGGCGGTGGTCGGTGAAGGGCTGTATACTGTTTGAATCTTTCACCACGTGCCTGATTCCCTCCAAACGCTATTAAATAAAAGAGCTCGCCTTTGATCCCCCACTCGAGAGTCTTTGGTGCATATCATTTGGGACTGAAGTTAATCTAGGCGTGGCCAGGAGGAGCAGGGGCGACCCTGGAGGTGGTGCCCGTGCCTGGGCGGTGCCAGGCCCACAGATGGGCAAAGCTGGCACCGAAGGATCCGGGAGGAGGAGGGGTCCCGCAGCCCTGAGCCAGGGCAGAGGCGCCCAGGGGTGACTGGGTGGGCACTGGGCTGGCCTTAGAGGGAAGGTAGTGGTGGAGGCTTAGCGACTTTTTGCTTTTCTTCTGTATTTCGTTGTTCCCTTGGGTACCAGGTACTTTTCCAACAAAAATTGTTTAAATGTAAAATCCAAATATGTACAACTTCCCCCCACCTCAAAGCACCTCCCAAATGTGAGACATGTTAGCGTCCAGGGTCCAGAGGGGTCCCTGGGCCCAAGAAACTGGCCAGCAGGAGGTCCACATCCTGGAGCATGACAAGATGTTTTGGCCTTGTCCTGAGTGTCTGGACCCCAGGGCAATATTTCCTAAAGTCAGGACCTCACCTTGTGTGAAGGGAGGCCTGCGCTCATAATTGACTCAGCCCTGGATTTGGGGGGCAAGGGGTGAAAGATACCTGATTAGAGGCCCCAAGTGCTCAACTGGATGAGATTACCCACAAAAGAGGAGTTGGCCTGGTGTCACAGAGGAATAATATGCAAATCCATCAGGAAATGAAAAGACTCTCCCCACTGTAGCCCAGCTAGCAGACGAGATAAACAGGCCCGCCGTGGTGAAGAGACTGGTGAAAACTTCTTTTCATCCAATACTTGTATTTTACAGATGAGAAAACTGGAGGCCAGAAAGGGTAAGTGACTCCCAGGTCACGCAAGTTGGGAGTGATGGAGCCACCACACTTTCTAAACAGGCCGTGCCCGTCCGTTGGCCGCATCCTCCATCCTCCAGCCAAGTAGCCAGACTGCAGAGTGAACCAGCTGATTCAAAGCAAAACATGACCACAACTTATCCAAGCTCCTTCCTGGTCAGAGAATAAGTCCCTGAGTGTCTCACTGAGTTCCCATCACCCTCTCCCGCCGATTCTTCACTCCATTCCCCCCACTGCATATATTTTGCTCCCCCAGTGCTGAATAACTTGCATTTTCTGGAACATACCTTCCTGTTTAAGGTATCTCTGCCTTAGCTCGAGCTCTCCTCTCTGTCTGAAGCATCGTTCCTCCCCTCCCAGGGTAAGTTAGCATGACCTAGTGAAGCAGGCGGGAGCCATGTCATCTGATGGGCTTGAATTCAGAATCCCAGTCTAGCCCTTAATTCTGTAACTTTCTGCAAGTTGGATCTCAGGGACGTTCACCAGGAAAATGGCAGTGACCTTGGGTCTCCCAAGGAACTAATCGAAGTGTGTTTTCAGCAATGGAACAACTCCTGTGATGGTTTGCAACCTAAAAGAAGTTTTTGTGCTGGTGATGATCAGAAGTGCAAGCCACAGAGGCCACAGAGCTGATCCACTAGGGAAGGAAGACAGCATCTCTTTGCTGTTGGAAACCACACTGGCGGTTTCATCACAAGGGGCCAACCAAAGGAAGAACAGAAGACCAAGTCAAGCCTGAGAAGCAGAATTGGAGAGAGGCTCTGGTTCGATTCCTGGATTGGGAAGTTCCCCTGGAAAGGGATAGGCTACCCACTCTAGTATTTTGGGGCTTTCCTGGCTCAGACGGTAAAGAATCCACATACAATGTGGGAGACCCCAGTTTGATTTCTGGGTTGGGAAGGTCCCCTGGAGGAAGGCATGGCAACCCACTCCAGTATTCTTGCCTGGAGAATCCCCATGGACAGAGGAGCCTGGTGGGCTGCAGTCCATAGTGTTGCAAAGAGTCAGACACGACTGAGCGACTAAACACAGCACAAAAGGCTTGAGAAGGACCAGGATTGCATCATGATCACCTCCCAGGTGTGAGTGCAGCTTACCTTCCTGCTCCAAGGATGAGATGGGTCACCGAGGAGACAGCTTGAGTCAGGGACCCCAAGAGGACCATGGATGCCGAGTTAGAAAAGTAAAGTCCCCCCAGAAGGATTATGGGGACCTGAACCGTCCACACAGGAGGGTGCTGCGTGTGTGTGTGTGCCTCGTGTGCACGACAGGGTACATGTGGTAGAGCACAGCCCAAGTCAGGTGAAGCCTGGCCCCGGGGGCCCAGGCTGACCTTCCCTTTGCCCCAACATCTCCATATCTAGAAAGAATGCTTTTGATCTGAAAGGGTTACTCCCTTCTTTCTTTCTCTCTCTCTTTTCTCCTTCCCCCTCTGATACCATTTATAAAGACAGTTTCTTAAAAAGATGCAATTTTTGGATACATCATGAAGTCATTTCTCACTCACCAGGTCTTGGCACAGATTCCCAGAGAGGATTTTTCCAGAGAAAAGGGGCCAGTTCTGGAGCCACACAGGCGAGTTCCTGGCCATCCCCTCTGCAGGCCAGATTTGCTGCATGGAAGCTTTAATTCCGGACCAAGTCAAGTCTATTCATGAAATAATGAACAATGAAACACCAAGGCTGCCAAAACCTGGGTTAGGAAGTACGGCTTTTGAACTGTAACAGAGCATCCATGTCTGCGCTTTCCAGAAGGAGAAAGATCTGCTGCCTGGGGGCCTCCCAGAGTGGTGGTGGTGGGCGGAGGGGATTCTACACCCTTTCCTCACCCCAAGGACCAGAAGCTAAGGAGCTGTGGCGATGCTTTGGACTCTTCCTAGATTCTTACCACTCCCCTAGCCCCCACTTGCCCGGCCTCTCCATCTCAGTCACATGGAGTCCAGACTTCATGCCCCACGCTCTCCCCCAGGCTGTCCTCTGGCCCCAGGGCAGCAGATATCTGGGGCTCTCCCTGGCACCCATTTTCATCCTCTCCATAGTAACAGAATCCTGGCTAGGACATGCACCCAGAAAAAAAGATGACCTCCACGCTGGTTTGGGCTCCCTCCCCTCTGAGTACCAGCCACACTCCCACCCCTTCCCCCAACTCCACCATCAGAATGCTGTGACCTCTGGTGACCCAGGCACCCTGAACCCGCTTCTCTGAAGCCAGTCTCACATCCAGTAGGTTTGGTTTGGTTCAAGAGAAGCTTCTTGAGTGTCTGCCACGTGCTGGCCACTCTGCTGACCACCAGAGATGTGATGGTGAATGACCAAGGCCCTGCCCACCAGGAGCAGGAGTCTAGAATTCCCTGCCATGATGGAAGGTTTCCAACTGGTCCCCTCCAAGGTGGTCACCACCAACTGCACATGGTTGCTGAGCATTTGAAATGCTGCAAGTGGCAGCAAGGAACTAAATTTTATTTGTCTTTCGTTTTAAGTCATTCAAGTGCAAACAGCCACTTGAATGCAACCCATGAGGTGCATGAAACTAGTGCGGGAGAGAGAAGCATGAGAAGAAAATTGCTGGGGGGTTGAAGGAATTCTGTGAGGGGAAAATTGGGGCGTTAGAAAGATGCTAACTGAGCTCCATCGTGAAGGAGGGGGAAGACCAGGAAACACATTGTGGGGGAAGGGTGTTGCAGAGGGAGGGAATATTATGAGTCCATCCAGATGGGGAAGTTCTCTAGTGTGGCTACAAAGAGGAAAGGGGTCACTGTGGGCAGGAGAGGCAGCTGAAGTGGGGGGCAGGTTGTGAAGGGCTCTGGCTGTCCTCCGAAGGAATTTGGGCTGTCACTGACACTGATGAGAAGTTCCACGAGGCTTTTAAGGAGATGTGTTTTAGCAAAATTACCCTGCTGCAGTATAGATGGTAGATTGAGTTTAAAAAGTGGATTTGGCAACACACATGTTAAAATACAGATACATTATTAGATTTTAGGTGAGGGAGTACTTCAAGTTATATTGAAGATGCAGTTATCATAGCCTGATAGGATGAGAAGAGATTCCATCAGCTTTGTAATAGTTCGTTCACTTCAGCAATGACCTCTTCAATGCAAACCCCATCTTCAGAAATAGTGCAAATGGTGTGGATGTTTCAAGTAGTCTGGAGAACTTATGAAACGCTTTGGAAGTATCAAAGTGAAGTGAAAGTTGTTCAGTCATGTCCAGCTCTTTGTGACCCCATGCACTATACAGTTCATGGAATTCTCCAGGCCAGAATACTGGAGTCAGTAGCCTTTCCCTTCTCCAGGGGATCTTCCCAACCCAGGGATTGAACCCAGGTCTCAAGCATTGCAGCCAGATTCTTTACCAGCTGAGCCACAAGGGAAATATTAGGATTTCTAATATCAAATCTCAAAACATTCAGGGCTATTAATTCAAGAAGGATCCCCTAGAAAACAACCCCATATTCTGTTTTCCTTCAAGCCTTCAAGATCTGTAATTCAGAATTTCCATTAATTTAGGCTAACCCATCCTCTAAATCAGCTACAGGAGATCAACAGCCCATATATGCCTTATTGGCTTTTTCCAATATATTTGCTTTAAAAAGTAAAAGTACATAGCACATGACCAATTTTTTCCACT